GCTAAACTCTGTATACTGTATATGCTGCACAAGCTAATATCTGCTAACCTGTTCAATAAATAACAGTGATTACAATTCAATTCAAATTCAAAAATACTTTATTGATCCCAGAGGGAAATTAGGTGTTGTTGTAACCCATTTAACTAAAAACTTTTTTTTGCACACTCCAGCTGTTCTATAGAACCTCCTTGGCGTGCAGCACTATGTGTCGGTGGGGTTCTGTTGATAGTTTATGAACAAAGACTATCTTACCTGGTACTGATAGCCCTTTGATTAACCTCAGTTTGGAGAAAGAGTTTAAATCTGATCAGACTGACCAACTACGGTAACTACTGCTTCGACCATCTGAAAATAACTCTTAATTTCATCGTAGCTCATTCCAGTACAGTAGCAGCTTCTGAGCATAAATATTAGTTGGGCGGACATTAATTTCCTGAACACACAGATTTGACGCTCTGAAGTAGTAAGCCCTGTGGTTGCACATATGGAAACTAATTCTCTATACATCGTGTATTCCTGTGTGAACAGACCGAGCAACGTTTGTTTTTGTTTTTTTCCACCATTACGGTGTCAGAAATCAAGCAGAAATCCCACGCAACACAAACCAGCAGCGTGTTGCAGAAAGTCTCTGCGACTTTGCTGCGGCTCACCTGTCTATTTTCTGCTGCGAGGTCTTGCTCTCCAGCACCAGCTTCTCGTTGGTGATYTCCAGCTCTCGAGCCGTCACATCCAGCTGTTCGTACACCTTCGCATGCTGCTCGTTCATCTCCCTCAGCGTTTCCAGCTGCTTGGACAAATACTGCACAYGGGGAGCAAATATTTATTCTTTCTAACTCAATATTAACACAATAAAATGGTTGCAAAAAAGAGTGAAGCGTCTGTTTTATCCCCTTTTTATGAGTTTTTGGCCATTTGACTATAAATCGCTGCTTCCTGGTACAACGGTCAGCTCTTTTTTGGAAGCGAGTGGTTGAAGCAAAACGCAGCATCTGAGCGCTTTCAGCACAAACAAACACTCCCACAAACTTCTGACCAATCACACAATAAAGTTCTTGTGTTCTTATGTGGAGGGGGGTAAAAAAGTTCGACCCGCAGGTCGCGACAAGAAATGCAGAAAATGTCGACAATGCAAACAGAATGATGCAAATTTCCTCATGAAACCGCGGCAGTTCAGAACGATTTCGGCAGTTCAGATGCAGTGTACGGCCTGCTTTACCGTAGTTACTTTTAGTAACATTTAGCTCCAATTTGTCATGGTAGTAGCTGAGAGTGATCCTTAACATGTACCCTGCTATGCTCTTCACTCAAACAACATTTAATATTATAATTCCTGCCTTTTATGATGGTCTAAATTTTTAYGGTAGTATGTTTGGTCAATTTTGTATGGTTGTGACCTACATATGTAACTCTCTTATATGATGTATACTGTTTGTTTGGGCCGGATCTCAATGGGGTCTTAAATCTGGTTTGAAAAAAGGAAATGAATGAATGAATGAAAACTCTGAGCATTAACAGTGAGATTTTGAGTACTGGTTTGAATAAACTGATCTAACGCAATGATTGTATCTGATTTATATTTCATCAAGTAATGCTGAGTCTTTGTATCTGTCTGTTCCATCCCTGCAGAGGTCAGAGGTCCTGGAGCTCATCTGGAACCAAGATGACACCTGGCCCACATTTCTCTGCAGGCTCTTCATCCTGCAGTGGGCCTCCATGCTGGAGAACAAGGTGCTTTTCTGACAAAGAGATAAAGAGAGAGAGACAGACAGAACAAAAGGTACTGACTTTGAAAGCTAAGGTGTGAATGTTTCTGTGCAGCAGAGACTCATGCAGACTGACGGCTGGCCGGAGACAGATGAGGACAAACAGCCTGATCTGATGACCTTACAGGACCTTCAGCAGGCCAAAGCTGTCATCTTCAACTGGATCAAAGATCTGCGTGCTCAGCCTGAGGTGGGCAGAGGGTTAAATATAGAATTTAATTTCTGTGTTTCTGTTTCTTGGATACAAAAAATAATAATAATTGAATTTGATCATCTTGCAGCAAAGCGTGTGGCCTGGAGAGCCAGTGGTAAAGATCCTGGAGGACCTGCAGTCGGCCTGGCGTTGGAGGCGTGTTCCCAATCTGCTGACCGCCATGGAGCTGGTCATGTGGACCTTAGTGTCCCAGAGGTCTGAGAAGGTGAGAGTTTGTTTTGTAATCCAAATGTAATTGTTGCAAATTCATCTGATGAGTTATCAGTTTATCTATTTGGCCTTTTTTTTTTTGCAGGACAAAATTCCACAGCAGTGGCTTCTGTGGAAGCAGAGAACTCAAAAGATTGGTTTGTAAATCAATCTGCGTCCTTTTTGTGCGTATTTTGGAAATCATCACTTAAATAAAAGGTACTTTATGTATTTTATTTTCTTCCAGGTGCCATATCTTACATTCCTCAGCCAGGTGAGTGAAAGTTCACATGAAATCTGTGTTACAGATGATTTAAAGCTCACAAACTGCAACATGTTTTTAAATCAYGTCTCAACTGTTTGCATAAATAACACATTTGTTACTTAATAAGTAATGAAGGAAGTTCCAGTTCTTTTCTTTAGTTTCTGTTCATGCACTGCAGAACTGTCAACACTTAAACTCCTGAACATACATTTGACAACATAAGAGAAWTCATCATAAAGTAATCATCACAGAAAAAGTAAATTTGAGAAATGAAGTTTTTTTCCAGTTGATTGATAGTAGTTATATTATCAGTTCCAGATATTAAAAACATCACTTTTTTTACACAATCGCAACGTTTCAAATTATCCGCTTTACTTTAAAGTTATTTTTAAAGTTTGTTATTGGACGCCTGTTCAAATGAACCTGCTTTGAGAAATGATCATGTTGCACTTCCTGTTTTGAAATGCATCACCTTCCACTAGTGATGTCCCAATACTATACTAACATAAGTACTGGGCCCGAGAGGAGCATTTTTACAGTACTGTACATTTTTACAAGTACTTGTATTTGTAAAAATGCCCTGATACTCTGGACAAAACCAATACTGACATCAGTATTAAACTGAATGCATACAGTTTACAGTTCAAGTGAAAGGTTTGTTTTTTCCATGTTTACGAAATTTTTAGTTTCAAGTTGAAAGTTAATCTTATTTATTTTTATTTGTTTAAAATGTTACAACGGTAGGCTATATATTGTTCTGAATATCTGGTTTGATCCAGTCAGAAAGGCAGTAGACCTTTAAGGAAGGAGATCCACTTTGTTCTAAATAAAATAAATTATTTTTAAAAGTCATTGTGTCATAATTAATCTCTTACACAGTAAGTACTCGATATCGATAGTGGGTATCAGCAAGTACCCAAACTGAGGTACTCGTACTCATTTGGTAAAAACTGATATCGGGACACCTCTCCACAGCGCACAACAGACGAATACAAAAAAAACCCTCAAAATACTGAAGGCTTTGTTGTTCTGTGTTTTGTGTTTCTCAAGTCTTTTATTTATTTATTTTCAACCATTTCTTTTGTTCTTTTTGTAGTGTGGGACTGGATTGCAGATGCCTCAGGTAAAAACTGTGTAACTTTACTGCTTTATAAAGGTGCGGTGATAATGACATGTCTAGAAATTCAAACGTTTTATTGCTTCCTCTAAAAGTGGACGTGACCCTGGACCTGGACACGGCTAACCCGGATCTGCTCATCTCCCCTGATGAGAAGAAGATGCGCTGCGGCTTCGAAAGAAAAGATGTCTCCAACCTCCACCAGCGCTTCGACGGCTGGTGGTGCGCCGTCGGGGCGGAGGGCCTGGGCTCGGGCCGCCACTACTGGGAGGCGGAGGTGGGCGAGCGTGACTGGCGGCTGGGCGTGGCCAAAGAGTCGGCTCTGAGGAAGGGCTTCAAGTCCCTCAACACAAACACGGGGTACCTGACCCTGCGGCTGGAGAGGGGCACCGAGCTGAAGGCCCTGACGGTGCCCTTCACTGCCCTGCCGCCTGGCCTCATCCCCCGCAAGGTGGGCGTCTACCTCGACTATGACCACGAGCAGCTGTCCTTCTACGACGTGGACAAACACGCGCACATTTACACCTACAACGAGCCCTTCGTTGAGCGCCTCTTCCCCTTGTTCGGAACGGTGGAGATCGTCAAGGATCTGGTGATCAGGTCTCCAGCAGCAAAGACCCACTGTCTCTGCCCCACATCCTGCCTGTGGGCTTAGATTATCCTCTGCCTGCAACAATCGTCATGATCGAGTAAAACAAACAGAAGCACAGAGGAACCCTGAAGACCAACAAACAACTCCACTGCGTGACCACTCTGTGTTCTGCTTCTGCTTTAACGTGAATGCTGCTAACACTTTAACACTATAGTTATAAAGCACTTTACTTTGCTCACATGTAGTCATACATCTGAGAAAAAAAATCTATGTTCTAATTTTATCTTTTGCTCAATCTGTAAATGGAAATGCACTTGTGTGAATAGCAAATAAAGCAAATTGTGACCGAACTTTTTGTGTGTTTTAGTACAACAGGAACTAGTACTAGGCTTTAATCAATGAATAGATCTGTTCCCTATTCATAGGGAACAGATCAAATATTTAGTAAGAACAGCAAGTTCTGTCCTTCCAATGATTACATCTATAACAGAATCATTAATGAAATTACACTTATTTTRATGCATCAAAAGATAATTTACTGTATACAAATTCACAGTTTTGTGATGCTTTTAATTGAAATACTTCAATTAATATTTTTTGTTTCTTGAACCCCAAACGATATCTCAAATCTTCATCTACTAGGAAACAGTTACAAACAACAAACACAATATTATTAATAATGCTTAATAAATTAATCACAAATAAAGATTGTAATTGTTATTGCTGTTTCTTCTGCTCTGTTTCTGTTATGTTACCTTAATTTTTGACTCTCTGATATACTAATAAATCCAAAGAAACCAAATAGAATGTAATCAAAAAATAACTATGCGATGAAAGCAAACAAATTTAAAGTGATATTGCAGCCTCTCAGCACTAAAAGTTGAAGAAAATGTGGTYATGTGCCACCCAGTGGCGGACCTAGGATTTTTTTTGAGTAAGGGGCCAACAAGGGGTCACAATATTCATAGAGGGGCCAAGTCTTTGTTCAGCATCCCTTCACACAAATCCCCAGTTTTGGTAAGGTGTRTACATTTAACCAGTCATTCATGTTCAAACACTTGTAATGCTTTTTTTTTAAAGCACCACTTTACAATAAGGCTCCACTTATAGATGGCTTTTAAAGAKTTTATACATAGGTTGTTAATTAGTCTGTAAACACTTTATAAATTGTTAATAAGTGTTTATCATGCATTAATTAAGGTCAAAAAAGAGACTAAACTGTCTGGTTTAGTACCAAATACTAAGCCAAATCTGTTTGGGTATTAAACATTTCAGACTAGTACCTTGTAAACACAATAATAATTAGGAAATGCATATTTTAACATATAATATTGTACTGTATTAGCGCATTATAAATATCCACACATATTTAAAGGATCCCTATTGTACAGTGTAAAACTGTACACTATTTTAGATTGGGTTGGATTATTTGGTACGTTAACATGACATTTGTTTAGTTTTTTGATACATCAACATTGTTGATAGTAGTTACATGTTTGATCAATAATTTCAAATATTGATTACAGACATTAAGTTTTAAAAATTATTTTTCACATTAAAGACTAACTTTTGGCATTTATAAATGTTTACTTGTCATTAATAAGTAGTGTACTGTATTACACTTTATGATAAGTCTCCCTTTGACAGTTGTGAATATTTATAATGCAGTACAATATTAATATGTTAAAATATGTGTTTCTTATTGTTATTCTGCTTACACTGTAGAAACCTAGTCTGAAATGTTTAATATACCACCTTTAGATGTAATATGTACGTGACCAGATTTGTCTCATTATTTGGTAAGAAACTGGACAGTTTCGTCTTTATCGTCCTTAATTGTTGTATAATAAACATTTATTAATGATTAATAAAGTGTAAACTTTACTGATGAATTGCTAACATATCTATTAACTCTTTATAAGCCTTTTATAAGGGGAGCCTGGTTGTAAAGTKGTACCAAAATAATCTTGCACAGTAAATTCTCAGTCAATTCCCAGTTTTTCATACATTTTACTGTACTTAGATAAAATATTCTCAAACATATAACGTGTGAAAAATCCAACCATCATTTTTCAGATGAAAGACTTTTTTTACAGGAATTTTCAAATTTTCATGGTATTTTCAAATTTTCAAAGAGAAGAAGAATTCTGTAAGCTTGATTCATTCTGGACTTTACTATTTGACTCATTAGCGCAACTAGTGTTTGAACATGGAACTGCATGCACCATCGTCACTCCCAGGTAAAGGACAAATGAGTGACAGGACAGGGCACTTCAGGGGGCCAATCAGATTTCAGCTGGGGCCAATGCCCCTGTGGCCCCGCCCCTAAAACCGCCCCTGAAGTGTTTTCAGATTTAAGCCTTATGCAGGGTCAGTGCTTTTTCTTCTGCCTCTGCATAATGTAACACTTTTTTACATTTAAATTGGAATATTTCATAAATTAAAGCTAAAGACTGAAGGAAACACTGTTCCAGTGGTAAAAAGAAAGTGGGGCTGTTGTGGATAATTCTGTGACCGCTCATAAGTTGGGACCAATCAGAGCTCTATAAGATTCAATTCAGCATTCTTAAATATGGAATAAAACTGAATTTTAAAAATATCAAATGTCGGAATAGTCAATAAAAAAGACATGTGAGCAGTAAACATAGACTTTTCAAGATTTTTGAAAAGTTTATTTTTTTCTTTTCTTCTCGACGATTTGAATGACGTCATATGTGTGCGACGATACCAGGGAGCTGCGCTCTCCGCAGAGAGAAAAGCGATGACAACAAGTTTAAAACAGGCTTTAAAATCCCACTTTGGGTTCGACAACTTTAGGTCTAAAATACAAGAAGATGTTGTCAAAGCTGTCATTAGAGGTAAGACGAATAGAAAGTTTTCAGCGTGCTTGTTTACGTTAGTCACCGAAAACATAATGTTGAATATACAAGAATATCCAAGAAAAGTTGTTTATGTTAAAAAGAAGTTTAATTTCCAGGACGGTGCTAATCGTGGTGTGTTTGTAGGTGACAGGGACGTGTTTGTGTGCATGCCTACTGGAGCAGGGAAGTCTCTGTGCTATCAACTCCCAGCCATGCTGGCTGATGGCATTACTCTGGTTATATCCCCTCTGATCGCTCTCATTCAGGTCAGTGTCTCATCCTGCTGCTCCACTGCTTTTGCATTACTTTGCATCTAAAAAGTAGTTCTGCTGTTTTTAAATTGTCTTAATTACTTAGCTTTTAAAGGTGACTTTGTTTTCCACTTTGTGTATTTGACTTATTAGAGCCTGCAAACTGGATTTGTTTAAAACGAATTAAAAACAAACAAATACCCCCTGATATATTGCCTTTAGCATCTTGTATTTAAACATAAAATGTGCATTAATAAAAAAAGTGTTAAAACCGTTTAATTCTCTTAAACTTTTCCTCATGATTGTGTTCATAATATCGCTAAACACAATTTTGTTTTATAAAAAAAAAATCTGTAAAGCGACCCAAAAGTTGGAAACTTGGAAGAACTGCTCTTACGTTTATAGGGGACTGCACTTTAGTCACACAGAGACATAAGTGTGACATATRGAGAGGTAAAAAGAGGCCACTATTTTACTGATCCTCAGCAGACCTTCTGATAATATGAATGTGCCATGTCAGAGGCCCTGAAACAACCTGACCATAGATCTGCACCGTACCTGASTGTACCTGACACCAGCCCAACCATCTGAAGGCATAAATTTTGGTCTGAAGTACCCTAACTCATCCTGGCTGGGAGCACCAGTGTATTGTCATTACAAGCAGATGAATAGCCTTGAGTCCTCCCACGCACAGCTGGGTTACTCCCGCTAGGGATGGAGCTGTGAACCTTGGGACCAGCGGAGTCCCAGACGTAGACTAGAGATAAGACGCCTCCTCGGAAAAGACACGGTGACTGGAAGGGATGTGTTTTTTTAACTGACCTTTGTGTGATTTAATTAAACTTATCCTTTGTTGCATTCACTTGTATCGTTGACTACATCATCATCCTATGAAAGAGTTAAAATTTGCGCTCTTGGTAAGAACAATAGAAAGGAGGAATTAAAGTATTTATTTTTTTACAGGAGCTGATATAATCTCTTGTACTGCAGTTTTTGTCCAGTAGATTATTACTCCTTAATAGCGCCTGCGTTTATCATTGTGTAATTTTTATCTTTTATTATTTTATTAAATATCTCCACAAAAAAAGTTCTTGAAAAGTTGGAAAATTCACTTTGAAAATGTTTGAAAAGTGCTTAAAGGGTGGTATTATGCAAAATCACCTTTTTTTTGAGCTTTATATCATGTTTATAATGTCATTCCCTCAACAAGTGTTGCTTTGACTCATTCATGCATGTTGAGAAATCCTCGACTCTCCTGTGGTAGCCATGTGGAGCTGCCTAAATGCCTGCTGGTACAAAGCTCCGCCTATTTGTACAGAGCTGTTCCTTGAAGCTCAGTCTGCAGCAGAGCTCCTGCCCMTCAGAGCACCCCTTCCTCGAATGATGCAAAGTGAAATTWGTTTTTTRTAYATACAGTATTTTTATAATAACTGAATGTRGCATAGTTATGTGATTGTGGTATAGAACTGAACTAGGGCCTTGAAAATACACTATACCCCCACTTTAAATTTGACTTCATGGGCGATGTATGAACCCTGAAAATACAAAAGTCTTTTTTAAAAAAAWCATTTTTAAAAGGTTTCATTGAAACCCTGAAGGTATAAATGTTTTAAAGGCAAAACAGGAAAAAGTTGAACAAAAACCATCAACAAAAGACAGAAACCAACTAATTGTACAACAAAGCAATAACAACTAGTTGGTTTCTGTTTTTTGTTCAACGTTTTCCTGTTTTGCATTTAAAACATTTATAATTTCAGTGTTTCAATGAAGGTTTTAAAAAATGTTGGGTTTGCTTACAAGATTTTCAGGTTTAGAAAAATACRTTTGATTTTACGTGTAAAAAAAAAGCCACTTTAGATGCAACTGCATGTTTTCCTTAAACATCAAAAGATATAAAAAAATCAGCTAGGGAATTTAGAAATGAAAGTGTTGCTTAAATTGTGATTTAAAATATTATGGTTCATTTAATTACAAGATATATTATTGCTGTTGATCTGTTTTGTTTTTACATATCCTCTTTCTTTCTTGTTTTCACTTATGCTGTTAGTGAGGACACACATGTTGATCTTTGACTTCCCAAACTGCTAATTTAGATTATAGTTCTGTTACTTTTACGACCCGCTATTAGACATGTGAGAACAGGAGATTGCATGGTCGTGTACACTAAGCCCCCCTTTGAGGGGGACCCTTTAAAAGCATGTTCYTGACATCGTATGTATTGAACCTTGTCTGTATATGAATTCCTTTCAGCAAGTAAAAGAGAACTTAACCAGATCTGCTGCTTGTTCGTCTTTCCTTGTGTCATAATAATTAATTTATCTAACATTAAGTTTTAAGTGTTACGATTGAAGTATTAGAACTGWGTGTAATTTAGACTTTCTGTGAGTTTCCTCTATGTCTGTCTTTTATTTCCCCCCAGGACCAAGTGGATCATCTGAAGGAGCTGAACATTCCCGCCTGTTCCATTAACTCCAAGCTCCCAGCCAACGAGCGCCATCTGATCCTGGCCGACCTGGGAAGCAGCAGCCCGAAGCTGAAGCTTCTCTACATCACTCCAGAGATGGTGGCGTCGCCCTCCTTCCAGCCCTGCCTCACCAACCTGTGCTCCCGCGGTCTGCTGTCCTACCTGGCTGTGGACGAGGCCCACTGCGTCTCCCAGTGGGGCCATGATTTCAGACCAGACTACCTCAAACTCGGTAAACTGCGGGCTCGCTTACCGGGGGTCCCCTGTTTGGCTTTGACCGCGACGGCGCCCAGAAACGTACAGGAAGACATCGTTCAGTCCCTGAGTCTGAACTCGCCGCTGTCTTTCGTCACGCCTGTTTTCCGCCGCAACTTGCACTACGATGTGATCTTCCGYGATCAGCTGCCAAACCCTTTCGCCCACCTCTACACCTTCATCAAAAAGGCACTAGCTTTGGGGAGTGGATCTAATGGACAGGTTTGTAGGCTGGAACCTTACAGGTGTTGTGATTCTCTTGAGATGCTTCCTTTTTAAAGGGATCCATGATTAGTTGTAACATTAGACTTTATTTAATAAACATGTTTTAACTGTGACATAAAGACTGTAAAAATACTATAGGTCGTTCAGTTTTTGTCATTTTTAAACTAAATTTTAAAAATGTATTACACGGACGGGGCCATTTTATTTAGACGCAAAGCATTCTGGGAGCAGCTCTTTTGTCCTCCATCTATATTTTCAGTTCCAGGCTGAGTCATTTCTACCTTCTCCTCTCTGTCAACGCTCTCTGGTTTCATTTAAAAG